GTTAATTACGTGAAGGATATATAAAATTTATTCCATGTATTAAAACTATACATGAACTTTAAATCTGTATCGAAATCATTCATGAATTCAATTTGATCAATAGTCTGTTTTCCTCTCTCTCTCTCTCTGGGATTCACACACCCAAACTTATTCATCAATCTTACACCATAGATGAACGAACATGAACTTTATCCCTCTTATCAAAATCATACATGAACTAAACTTTGTATCAACATCATATATGAACCTACAAATTTGTATTACATCCATATATGAATGAACTTCTCAATCAAAATTAATGGAATAATACAAGTAGCAAATGGATTGCCCATGTTGCAATGATATGACGATACTTATGTTAATTACGTGAAGGATATATAAACTTTATTCCATGTATTAAGCAATCCATTTCAAGATTGGTCTGCTCAAATGAGCCACCATCTTGCGGGGGCGTGTTAAGGGATATATATCCCACATCGATAAATGATGTTGACATAGATCAATTAATAAAGATTTTGGGCTACTCCTCTTAATAAGGTTGACATTTTAAGATGGAACCCAAATTCTTAACATGTCGTTTCTAGCTTCTCAACAATTTTATGACATATGATGCATTAATGGTCAAAATCGTCTCCCTTTTCTTGAAATATTTTCTTCAATTCAATGCTTTACAACATTTTCAAAATGGAAAGCTTTCTAACCTCCAAAATCATCTTATTAAAACATTCACTTAAATTTAAATTTATAAGGAACACGAGTTTGGACTAAGTTTATCATTCAATTGAAGCATTCGGAAGGATAAATGTTTTAGTTTTTGAATTCAGCAGTCTGGAGTGTATTGATCATTCTAAAGTTAATGCCACAAATAACATAATAAGAAGAAATGAAAAAAATATATATATATATATATATTTTTTTTATTATTTTCTTTCCACCTCTGGTCGTGGATTGTTTAGTTAGTTTTGACACATGAAAGTTAATTCATAGGATCTAATACAAATTCTGAGTCCAAGCATGATTTTTTTTTTTTTTTTGATATGAGAGTCCAAGCATGATTTTAATACAAAGTTGAGTTGATATATGATTTTTATTATACAATAGGGGTAAAATTCATGTATGATTTTGGCGTAGGTAGTAAATTTCATGGACCATTCGCGTAATTAATTTGTCAAGAGTCTGCCACTTCATGTCACATAGACACCTTGTTTGACAGGTAGATTATTTTATTAGTTTTGATTGACGAAAATTATTTTATGTACGAATGGAATACGAATACGTAAATTCATGTATAATTTTGATAAAAAGCTAAGTTTATATATGTTTTTGGTACGTGGGATAAAGTTCATATACCGTTGGTTGACGCGTTTAACCCACTTTTATTCCATACAACGTACTAATTATCCAATAAATGTTAATTTTCCATTTTTCTTCCGAATACTTGTGAATTCAAGACCAGACTAAAAAAATGTTCATCTTAGGCTTACATGTAAAAAATAAAAAATTATTCAAAAACTTCTTTTTACGTAAACATTTTTTAAGCCCCCGTTTGGTGTAGATGTGAAATATGTGGTTGAAAAAAATGAAAAGTTATTTATGTGATGTAAAATATTATTTAGTTGAAGAATATGTGGTTGAAAATGAGTAGAAGAATGAGAATGAAAAAAATAATGTAGACCAAACAGGGCCTAAACATCAAAAATGAAATGGACAGGGGTAACCCAGTCCAGTCCCTCCTACATCCGCTTCTACGTTTACCAAATTGTACACGGCGAGGTTAATAGTTCAAATCTAATAGTTGTGAACTTTAGTTAGGAGCAGCTTGGAGGCTACCGGAAACTTTATATTTTGAAATGAAAAGATAAAAATAAGGTTTGCTTAATATAAATCAGAAGCGCTTATATTTATTGATATTGATCGACGTCAATACTCCACATTATTCACACACACATTAATATCCTTCACTTTTAGACTACTCAAGCTAAGGACTTCCATTCTGCATGTAGGCTATTGCTTCTTCAGCACTTTGGCAGCAGGAACACCCTGTCCAGTGATGATAACCACAGCATCCCCAGTGGCAACCGCCACCACCACTGCCCCCACCATGGCCACTGCCTCCTCCTCCTGCTTGTCCACCACCACCACTGCCGCCACTGCCTCCACCGCCTGCTTGGCCGCCACCACCACCACTACCACCACTGCCCCCACCGCCTCCTGGTCCACCACCGCCACTACCTCCCCAGCTGCCTCCGTGTCCAAAACCCCCGCCACCACCGCCTCCATAACCGCCCCAACTACCTCCATGTCCACCACCCCATCCGCCACCAAAATCATGGCCAGTCTTCTGATCAGCTAATTGCTGTTTTGTTTCTTCAACTACATCCACTGCGTATAATCAACTCAAACTTTTTAGCTTATATTGAACAAAACTAAAAAATCCAGGGAGAACTTATAAAGATAAATACACCAGAAGGAAAAAATAAATGCTGTTCTTCTTTCTTTTTATTAATACTCACTCTTTTTCTCATCTTGAGATGCGTTATCGGCCATGACAGAGGAGAAGATGAAAAGAAATGCAAATATGACAGAAACATGATCTTTGGATTTCATTTTCTTGAAAAGAATGGAAATCATGGTACTTCCATGAACTGCATTTATAGAGTACGAGGAAGTCATAGGTAACCAGAAAAGATGCCAAGAATCATTCGAAATAGACAGTGTGCATTGTCATGCTTATGTCTTATTACCATTTATTCTTTGTAGTTCGGAGTTGAGAATTTTTGGATTATCCCATGCATTTAATTGAAAGTTAATTATTCTGATCAGAACATGCATTTGAAACATCATTGGAAAAGAAACAATTGAAAACTTGGCAGCGTCGGTTGTTTCATAGTTAATGTTGTTGGTACAACGAAACTAAGCCTGTGTTTTGTGTAGCTAAAAATCAATTTTTTAATAAATTTTGATAAAAATTTAAAAAATTGTGGTTTAAAAGTTGATAAAATTTTGGTCCCACTACAAGAAAAAAGCGAATTTGAGACAAAAATATTGTCTCATAAATAGAAATTTACTAGCAAAAATAATTTTGCGACAACAAGATATTTGTAGTGAACATTGTTGCACTATATGAGTCACAGAACGTATTCTACAACAACTTTCAGTTGTTCGTCGTATAAACGAACTTGCATTATTATTTGTTTAACCCAAATACTACAAAATATTAACAAGGTATTTGTTGCCATAATATTGTCGCAACGCATTTATGTCGCGAAAAAATATAAGGGCGACAAGTAAATTTGTAGCCAGGGGCGGAGCCAAGAATTCATCGTACGGGGGGCTAAAATTTTTAAAATGTAATGTACGAATAAAATTTATATATAACTAGAAAAATTGTAATATAACGTTACTTATCACAATTGTACCCAACGATGTTTTAAAGCATAAAATTCAAATTATTCAATGGAGTATAAATTGTCTAATGTGGCCTAAATTCATGTGAACAAGTTACAACTTACAAGTGTAAATAATCTAAGTATCTAACCAAACATACCTCAGTGCCTCACTGCAGGCCGCAAATGAAGGCTGAAGCAGAAGCACAACTGCACTGCACTGCACACACAAGGGTCGAATCGACATTGAAAGTTTGAAACAAAACAAGAGTTACAATACATTACAAAATTGAAACTGAAACGAAATATTAAACACAAAACACAAGAGGCAGGAGGCTTAGCAAAGCAACAAATTACAGATACCTTTGTTGGAAGTTCCACACATTCATGGTAATATTATCAGATCAAAAGAACATTGTACAAATATGTATAAAAGCTTCAGAATGCATCAGCAACAGCTACGGGAAAGATGAAATTGTTCCCACATATTCTTGCAAAAGCTAAATTTATTTGATAAAAAATCCAGTAAATGGTCTAACTTCATTGGAGTCATCACTGTGAACATCATATTTTACAAGTTCCCCAAACAGAAATTGAAAAATGAGCCACCAGATTCATGGTAAATTGATAACTCTTCCCACAAACAGGTACTAGCATCATGAACTGCTAATTTCTCAGCAGCAATCATGAATGTTAATTGTCCAAATAAATGAATCATTAAAATGGTAATAACATCACAAGACGACTAGAGAAAAAGTGATGTCCCGTAGGAGCAACAAAGCAACAAGAGTCCAATTCCGCTTGTTGCAAAGATTAAAATGTTACAAATTGCAACCTGCAAGATAATGATTCTCAACAAAAGATCACATCACTTACTAGCATTCCAACTTAAATTAATCTATATAACCACCTTACCACCTACCCCACCAAATTTCATTCCCA